ATTCCAGTAGAAACTCTCTACCGCGCCTATGAACATGTACACATAATATACACACTCCCTGCAGTATTACTGAACATACTGTATCCTGCATGAGATGGGAGGAGCCTATCTGCCTTCCCTGCCGCACTGACTGAAGGTGGCACGCTCCTCTCCTGTTCCCATTCTTGGTGTAATTGCTGACTCCAACTGTGGCCAAGAGACCCAGAGCTGCACTGTTAAAGAGCCCTAGGCACTTCATAAAACCTTGAGGGAAATGCTCAACTCTGATTTGGTTTTTAAGGTTAAAAAATATACTTTTTTCCCCAACAATTAGAAAATACAGCCCATGACATTACTGCCATGGGGCGGGGGGATAGATAAAAGATCAAAGACTGGGAGAAAAAGAACCAGTTCTTAGGAAGCAAGAAAGTCTGATTAAATTTTCTTTCATTTCTATATTTCTTATTGTCACATTATTATGACAGGGTTTAAGTTGATATAAACATACCAATGTGATCCCCAAACTCCAGACATCAGAGCGGACATCATATCCTTGTCGTGATGCACTTGGGTCTATTCTTTCCGGCTGGAACACAAAGAAAAGTCATAGTCATTAACTGTGCTTACCCCCAAGGATCAGGCAAGTGGAAACAACAGCTGAACTAGGTAGTCAAAATGTCAGCATATTCCTAGAGGAATCCACATCTAGCATTGGAATGAGAGTTACAGGAAGCCACCATTATATTAAAAATAACAAACAACAACAACAAACTCAGTTCACCAGCTACCTTCATCAAGGGCATACACAGCAATACTTATAACTTTTTTCTTCTAAGGGCTCATAAGCATTTACAAAGCCAAAGTTCAGGAAAGATACAGGGAGAAAAGGGAGAAAATTGAAAAAATGGAAAAAAGTAAATAATCATCACAGGGTCAGTTAGTAGCATTAGTGACAAACACAGGAAAAATGACTAGCTCTTCTGATTTAACTAGAGCAGTTGTAGAAAACAGTTTGGTGGTTCCTCAAAAAGTTAAACACAGAAATACCATATGACCCCGCAATTACACTTCTAGGTATATACACGAAACACTTGAAAGCAAAGACGCGAACAGATACTTGTACACTAATGCACACTGTAGCACCATTCACAACAGCCAAAGGGTG